GCTCCAGAATTTACGTTTGGTTCTTCTTTTTAGAGTTTCAATCTCTTTGGTAAAGTGTTCCTTCTGTTAATCTGATTTTGAGCTCACTGAACTGCCTTTCTTACCTTTTTTGTGGCTTGTTTCTTCATGATAGTTATTTTGAATTCTCTCCAGTTGCAGTGTTCTGTGACTTGAAGTTTGGTTTCTGGAGATTTGTCATTTTATTTTTGTGACTCTGTTACCATGGTTTTTCATGGTGCTTGATGAGTTGTTCCTCTGCCGGCACATTTTGAAGTAGCAAATACCTTTCTTCTTTAGGTAAAGCTTGTCTTTTATTTTGATTCTAACAATTTAACACGTTGGTAGTTAGAGGCCTTTCTTTGTTTTCCAGTAGGTGGCCCTATAGCACAAGTTACTTGTTTCTTTTACCTGGTCTGCCTCTGGCTATATTTGAGAATCAGTACTTTTTACTTCATGGTGTCTGACGGGTCTCTTAGGTCTCATAGGCATTGCCCATTTTTCCTTTGTTTTTTTGTTTTGTTTTCTTCCTCAGACTGGATCATTTCAATTGATGTAGTTTCAAGTTCACTGATTCTTAACATTTGTCTTTTCTGCTGTTGATTCCCTCTAAGGAATTTTTCAATTCATTTATGGCATTTTTTAGCTTCAGAGTTTGTATTTGATTCCTTTTATAATTTCTATTTCTTTATTGATAGTCTGTATTTGAGACATTGTTTCAAATAGTTTCCTTTAGTTGTTTATGGTTTTATTTACCTCATTGAGTATATTAAAGACAGTTATAGTCTTTATGTAGTAAGTCCAATGTTTGTGCTTCATCAGGGATAGTTTCTGCTAATTTTTTTCTTTCCTGTGAACAGACTATGTTTTCTTGTATGCTTTTATTTTTTGAAACTGGTCATTCTTAATACTACAATATGGCAATTCTGCAAATTGAGTTCTGCTCCCTCTTCAGAGTTTTTGTTGCTCGTTGTGGGTTGTAGTTGTTTGGTGACTTTTCAAAATTGTTTTTGTAAAAACTCTATTCTTTATCATGTGTGGCCTATGAGGTTTCTCTTTCATTAGCTTAGTTGTCAGATAGTGGTGTGACAGCTTTCCTTAAATGCCTAGAGACAAAAAGAAATAAAAGGAAACAAAAGAAAATACTATCCTGGTCTTTGCAGGTGGACTCTGTGTTGTGGTGCCCTTTCAGCACTTACCTGGGGTGTTTACAGTTCTGCTTTAGCCTTCACTTCCTGCTTGGGCTTGGGTGTAAAGATCAGCAAGAGATAAAAGCTTAAGGTCTTTCCACATTTTTTATGAGGATGCGTCCTGCCCTGGGTTATTGGCAGGTCCTTTTAGATTCCTTAGAATATGTGGGTGCTTTTCAAAGCCCTTATTCCCCAAAGTATGCCACTCTCCAGTTTTCCTCCCAGGCTTTCAGCTCCGTGTCTGTTGTTAGTTTGTCCCAGCTATTATCTTTTGCCCAGGCAGCAGCATGTTCATTTACCTTCAGAGCTTTAGAGAAACAACCTCTGTGTGTATCCTTTTTGCTACCCTGAGTAACTTCTGAGTTGGGTGAAACAAAGGCAAGACCCTTGCATCAGTTCTCCCAGGACCCTCCAGACAGGTCAAAACAAACACTGTTCTTTGGGAACAAGGTCTTTTCTGTTTCCTCCAGAACCAGGCACCCACACTAGGAGCACAGGCTGCCATTTTTAAGATGCTGACTGAGGAAGAGGGTGGAGGAAGAGTAAGATGAAATGCCATTAAGCTATCCTCCTGGGTTTCAGTTGTTGTTTTATGTTTGTTTGTTTGTTTTTTAGCATTTATTTGGTTTCTGTAAGCCTTTAACTATTTCCCAGACTTTGAACAAAACTGACTTCTATCAGTTTTTGCCAGTCTTTTTAGTGTTTCTGTGGAGGGGGTAGGTCCCTAGAGTTCTTCATTCTCCCATTTTTGTTGACATATATGCATCTTTTTAATGGAAGTAATGCACCAACATTTGGGTGAATGTGACATGATTTTCCTATTATAGTCTGAATATGTGATCTTTATTAAAACTTTGTGTACTTACACTCTAGTTAAGATATAAACGTTTGCATATATTTCAGAAATATAAGTAGATAAAGAGTGTGGAAAATTAAAAAAATGACAGATGCTCATGAATTATATAAGGAAATTTAGGGGCTTATATGTACATACTTATACCCTTTGAGTGTAACTAGCTACTATGCTCATCCTTTCCCCCTATTAGAAAAAGTACTATTAGATTATTGGTCAGACCCAGTATAGCTTACTGCTGGCGTATGAAAAGCATCTTGTTTTAATGTTTTAAACTTAATGCTCCTCAGAGTCCACGGAGTTCATTAAGCTTCCGAGAGGCCACTCAAATGTTTTGTCCCTAGATGCTACAGCTAATGTGTTTGCCCCTGTCACCAGTCCTTCTTAAAACATGATGTTTAACGTCTTTGGTATGTCATGCCTTACTTAGAATAACCACTCCCTTCATGTACCCTTAGAGAGGTTCTCATGATAGCAAGAAAGGGAATACTTGGCAAGCTCTTTGGTTACAAGATCTCATCTCCCCAAATTACCATGCTTGCTGAATTGTAACTAACAAGGATATTACTTCATGTGCTAAAAAAAAAAAATTACAGTAAACACACAACACTATTGGGCTTACTCTTGTGAATATCTAATGCAAGGAAGAGTGTGCTAAGGAAAATGGAACATTTTATTCATTAGATGTTATTATAGATGAAATTTTTATATTAAGATTTAAATGGAATTTTACTCCTTTAGATGGAATTTTATATTAAGATTTTTCTCTCCAACTGAATAGGAAAGTTAATTCCTCTTATTCTAACTGGAGATCGTTAAGCATATGATACATTATTTTTTTTCCGGTGGTACATAGGCCTCTCACTGTTGTGGCCTCTCCCGTTGCGGAGCACAGGCTCCGGACGCACAGGCTCAGCTGCCATGGCTCACGGGCCTAGCCGCTCCATGGCTTGTGGGATTTTCCCAGACCGGGGCATGAACCCGTGTCCCCTGCATTGGCAGGCTGACTCTCAACCACTGCGCCACCAGGGAAGCCCCCATATAATACATTTTAAAGGGAGTCTTGCATGAAGTGAATCTAGCTGAAGTGACATTGGAGGATATAACAGCACATACAAATTAATTTTTCAATTTAAAATATTTGGGAAAGGTAAAGATAATATATTTTGTATGTGATTTTCCACATGCTACATTCTGAAAGCAAACTACATTTGAGCCACTCTCTGGAGCACTTTCCAGTAACAACTTATTTTAAGGCAGATTTTTCCCTTTCCCTAAAGCAATAATTGTCCATAGAGAAGCCACATCTTTTTAAACTGAAATTCTGAAGAAAAATTGTTTTCATAGTTGGCATATTTTTAATATTTGGAGAAAATTATGGAATATAGGCTAGAATTTTTTTTTTACTAATCTGGGATAGGGAAGTTTTCCTCACCTCAGTCACAGTGTCTGAGAACTCTCTGACTGTGGTCATGATTAAACATTATTAGGCTTTATACAGAGAGATTAGATGTTTGTTGTTAATAAGAATTTTGAGCTTTAAGGGGACAGACATAAGCAACTGTAATTAATAAACATTTACTCGATGTAAAACTTGGCCTCAAACTCCAATTTTGATGTTTGTACTGAATAAACTTTAGAAAACAGAAAAGTACTAAATGGATTAAGATTTATATGTCAAATACTACCAAGGTGTAGACATTAAACAAATTAAGATCACTTATGGCTTTTCCATAATTGCCACTGCAATACTGAATTTATCAATCTGTGAACAGGAACTAGGGGAATGAATGTGATTTTTAATAATAGATTTTGGGAATATGTAATAACGTTAACATAGTTCAGAATTTACTTCTTAATTTTTGCTGAATATAATTGTGTTTTGAAAACATACCTTTCTTCCTGCTAGCACACATACTGCCCTGGGATTTAACTTCATATACCCTTGTAGGCTTATATGTTTCCCATTTTTACTGAATTTCATAGATACAAAACAGGTAGGGTCACCGGATATACACCTGGGTCCTGGTTTGAGACTACATAGGTGGAACTCTCAACTAACAAAGTTCACCATGGTTATTACTAAGATCTTAATGAAAATTAGATAACAAAGCCTAAAAAAAAAGTTTATTGAGCTGACTAAATAACTGTGTTTCTAAATCCTTCTTTAGGAAACACCACAGAAAATAGAAATTCAGGTTTGAGAGTTTGAAAGCCCAGTTACAAGCTCTATTTTTTCTTTGTGGCTTTCAGCTTCCAGTACTTAAGTCAGATAAAATTTACATTTCCTGTCTAAATTCCTGTCTAATTTACAGGGTTGATGTGAAGAAAAAAATACCGTAACATATGGGAAAGTGCTTTATAAACTAAAATGTAATATACAAACATAATAATGGTTACACTCCTATATTTGATTTTCAAGAAAGCATCATTGAGTCCCTCATATTAGGATAACTAATCTATATCTAGGTCTGGGAATAAGGTTTTGATGACAAGCTTCTTCCATATAACACAAGGGCAAAGTGTCCATAGTGGGTTAGTTTTGTGGTTGTAAGTCTGAATTCTTGGGTGACACTTCTAAAGTTGGAGAAGAATTAATTCCTAGTTGTGGTGTGTTGCTTTCATTGCCTGATGCCTTGAGGCATGTTGATTTAGTCATGTTTGCTTTACATTTTTATTCTGGGAAGGACCTCCATGTCCCAGGGTAGGTATCTGAGTACTATTCATCCAGCTCCCTGTCCTATTTCCTTTACCTAGTTAAGATGAATAAGAACAAAATGCTATTTGTAACCATACATGTCCTTTATACTGCAATTGCAGAAAGTATAATTTTTCAGTACATGACATATTTTCATGCATACATCTATGTACAATCCCGAGAATTAAGATACATTTCATAGTTTTCTTTTACTAACATTGTGGTTCTCTTGACTAGTGAGTGAACAGTTTAAAAGCATGAATTCATAACTGCATTGTCATTTATTTCAACCTATTGCATATAGAGAATATAATGTGCTTGAAAAACACTTCAATGATGCCTTTGTTCTTTCCATATTAAATTTAACTATCCATGTCTATGAATTAAGTTTACTAGGAAAACTCACGTTTAAAAAAATTGTACAAGGAACAGCTGGATTCCCACAATCAGCAAGGAAATGAACTCAAGAATTTGAACTAGTTTGTCAGGAACACTTTGTCTTCATGGTAAACATTCACTTTATGCAAATCCCACTCGGCTTCATTTAATTAAAAAGCTGAAAAAGAAAGAAAATTCTGGGCTGAAAATAAAGAAAACACCAAGTGCTTTTTATCCCATTCTAAATTAGTATATGTAAATATAAAATAAAAATGTCATAGTTACATTATTTCACCTCGTTCTAATTTTTATATCAGGGCAGTTTCTCTGAACTAGTTCCTGTAATGGGATCAGGCTTGTGGTAAGAATAGGTCAGGGGTGGAAGCAGTTGTTGATAAGAACTTGAACTTGTGGTGTTTAAGTTTGAGTAACTTCTTTTTTTTTTTTAAATAGTTGATTAACAATGTTGTGTTAGTTTCAGGTGTACAGCAAGGTGGTTCAATTATACAAATTCAGCTATCTCTTCTTTTTCGAATTCTTTTCCCATTTAGGTTATTACAGAATATTGAGCAGAGTTCCCTGTGCTATACAGTAGATCCTTGTTGGTTATCTATTTTAAATATAGCAGTGTATACATGTCAATCCTAATCTCCCAATGGGTAACTTCTGTGAGCCATTCTCATTGTTAGCTAGACCATTAGTTAAATTGGCATTTAAACTGACAGTGTAGGGGAAGAAAAGGGAATGGATTGAAACACATATTTGGAGTGGGCCATTTCAACGTCCTAAACAAAATATTTTTTTCTGGTTATTTAATCTATAATGCATTTCTTAAAATAAAGACTTTTGAGGATTTTATAATTTCATTATATTGAACAGCCAAAAAAGAATGTATTATAAATCATAATAAAAATATCATCAGATTCTGATGAAACAACACAAATATGTATTTCTATATGTACATATAGAAATACAAGTAAAAAGTAACTATTTTTCCTTTCTTAACTTCCTTAAGCAAAACTTTAACCTATGAAAAGAAATTTATTTAAGTTTGTAAAATCGTGAGTCAATTTAAATAACATTCTTTAAGCTTTTGTTGGTTATTTGTACCTTTCTGCTAACAGGTAGCAACTTTTTTTTCTAAAGTCTTGACAACATAACTTTAGGACAACCAGAGATAAACCAATTCTTAACTAAATATTAAAAAAATATATTAATGGTTACTATAGTTGAAAAGCCATGTAGTTGGGAAAGAGGTCAAACTA